TACGTTTTGCCTCTTCTTACTCAATTCATTCATTCTTACCAGAAACCTCCATATTTCCTCAATTTCATGAATGCTTTTATGTTCTGTTCTTGTTGTGTTGTGTACCATCAAGTTGATTCTGACTCATAAGGACCCTATAGGACAGAGTGGAACTGCCCCATAGGGTTTCCAAGGCTGTTAATTTTATGGAAGCAGATTGCCACATCTTTCTCCCATGGAGCGGATGGTGGGTTTGAACCGTTGACCTAGGTTAGCCTAGGTTACCAGCTGGGCACTTAACCACTGTGCCACCAAGGCTCCTATTCTTATCTTACTTGACCATTATGGCATTTGAAATGGTGGCCCACTCCCTCCTTAGAACTCTCTCTTCTCTTGACTTTGAAACCACGTGCAACTGTTTTCCTCCTCTTCCTGTATTTTCTACTGTTTCTTCTTATTTTCCTTGGTAGGCTAATTTCTGTTGGATTTTTTGTTTGTTTTTTCCTTAAATTTCAATATTCCTCAGGCCCTATCCTTGGCACCCATCCTTCCTTACTTGGTTAACCTCAAGGCTTCATATACCACTTATATACTGGCTGTATGTAGCATCTCTAGCACTAACTCATATATCCAACACATTATAAGCATTTCCACTTGTGCGTTCCAGACCAGCTACTCAATTTATAGGACCTAGTGAAAAATGAAGACGTGAGTCCCCTTGTTAAAAAAAAATTATTAAGAATTTCAAAATGGTGACAGCAGAGCATTAATCCAAGCGTGGGACCCTTCTAAGCATGGGGTGGCATGCCCATGTTACTGGTTCTATTTGTGTGTCTCACATACCTCAAATCCAACATAATCAAGATTGGATATCTTTCCACCAACCCCTACTTCAATAAATTATTCATTAAACAATCAGTTACCCAAGCTAAACATCCAAGAATTAAACTAAACTCCACCCTTTTACACATCTTCCGCATTTAATTATCCTGGAGATTCTGAAATCTATCTATTCCCCTCGGGTACTACTGATGCTTAATTCAGTCCCCATCACTTGTTGCCCAGGTTATTGCAATAGTCTCCTGACTGGTTTTCCTTCTCTAGTGATGCCCATTCTAGTTGACCCTCTAAACTCTCTTCATAAACAAATCTGATTATTTTCAGGTGCCATACAAAGTTTTGTAACAACTTTATTGAGATATAATTCACATATCATACAATTAACCATTTAAAGTGTACAATTCAATGTTTTTTAATATATTCACAGAGTTGTGCAATTATCACCAAAGTCAATCTTAGAACATTTTTATCACTCCCAAGAGGAACTTCCTAGCCTTCAGTTATCACCCCTGATCCCACTATCCCTCCCCGCCCCCCACAAGCAACCACTAATCTACTTTCCATGGCTGTAGATTTGCCTACTCTGGGCATTTGACGTACATGGAATCATATGATAGGTGGTCCATAGTGACTGGCATCTTTCACTTAGCGTGATGTTTTCAAGATTCATC